AAAGTGCAATCGATTTACACACACATGCAATCGATTTCTCACTAAAAATATTTGAATTTTTTAGCTGTTAAAACTCGTGCAATCGATTTACACAAGGGTGCAATCGATTGCATGCTGAACATTTTTGAAAATCAACAGCTTTGAACATACCTTTTTATAACATCATTTCATGGAAACTTTTTATTGAATCTTGGCAATTGTTCATGATTCATTTGCAGAAATTTATGTTGTTTCAAAGAGGTGCTATGAACATATAAATACTTAATTTTCAAAATCATTTTAAAAACCTCTTCCAATAAATAGTTTCTGAATTTTAAAATATTAAAACTCAAGCTTTTTCTTCACTTTCATACACAAAGTTTTTCTGCACATTTTCATATATTGTTAAACAGAAAACTTTGAGCAATCTATAGTCTTGAGTCATTGTATATTATTGTTATCGTAAGAGAAGATCAAGTCATTGATAAAATCACTCAAAGTGATTATTGCACTACAAACTCTATCAGTCAGATATTGCTATACACTTTATTATTTTTCAGGATTGTTGAAAATAAGTTCAAGTGGTTTTGTAATCTTGTTTTTCTAGGATTATTGGATACAAGTAAGGTCACCTTGAGAGGATTGTTCTCATTGTTGACATAGTGAAAATCCAAGAGGATTGTTCTTGGTCCAAGATGATTGTTCTCGGTGGTTTTATTAGTTAGAGTCTTGTATAGAAGGACTAGGGTGTCTTGTCTAGATATCTAACAATAAGGAAATCTCTTTCATATTGAAAGGGGATTGAAGTACTCTCGGACTACGAGGGGAACCAGGATACATCTTTGTGTTCTTTACTTTTCCGCATTTACCGCTTTCATCACTAGTCATAAACCAGAAAAGAAAGAAACACATTTGTAAACTCATGCACTAAACCAGAAAAATAATATCCATCATCACTAAAATCAGAAGAATTTTAAAAGTACCTAATTCACCCCCCTCTTAGGCGCACTCTTATACTTACACCTAAAACCTAGCAGCATACTCAACAACAGTTGAACTCCCTTATTTCGGTTCAAGGAATTTAATCCCTTTCTTACCATGCACTTCCCCAAGAAAGTACTTCTCCAGAAAAGCAACTCTGAATATATCCCAAGTGATCTTTGTACCTATAATTTTCATCCTCTGGTGTGCATTCCCCCACCATTTTCAGCTTCCTCTTCCAACACATGATCACTAAACTACACCTTCTGCTCTTCCGAGAAAATCACCACTCGGAAAACATTTTCAATTCCCTTAAGCCATATATGAGCACCAATGGAATTGTGACTTCCCTTGAAGATTAGTGGATTGCTCCTCTGAAACCTTCCTCATGCACGAGCCTCATCGTTATTTCCTCCATTCTGAACCTGCGGACCTTGTTGGTTTTGCATAGCGTAAGCCATTGCTTCCAAAGCTTGAGAAATAGCATCGTCGTTTCTTCCTCTAGCCATATCTCTGCGGATAGACAGCCAACATTAGAAACACAACATATCAATAGTGTCCACACACTAATCGACCAATAGGGAGTAGTCATCATATAAAAACCTGGTCGGACAAACTGACCTGCTATGATACCACTAATGTAACACCCTTCTAACCCCACATGTATTTATTATATAATTTACGAAATAGATCAAGTAAAATTACCACACAAGAGTGTCACACTTCATGCAAAATATCATAAAACAATCCTGCTCCGTAACATGGATTACCGCAATTGTAATAACACCTCTTAATAAAATCAACACATCATTTATAAAAACATCGCAGCAGAATCATCATCATAATATCATTCTTAACTTCTCAAAAATCATAACAGATTAGTCTCGTCCCAAAGTGGGAATTAAAAAAACTCAGTTTAACAATAAAAAACCTTCATAAAGTATGTCAACATAAAAGAAACATAACATTCGCAAAACAAAGTGTTCCTAACTTGATGTTACATATCAGAGTAAGACACCTCTAATTAACGAAAACTAATAAAATACTCCAAAGCTATCTTCAACGCTTCTACAAGCTACTCCTGTCCTGAACATCTGCGTGTTATCCACGTGGAGACAACGTTCAAATATAAAGGGTGAGTAATCACAGTTAATTATAAAAGATATAAGGAAAATGTTAGTAGTAACATCATCATCATCATATCAACATATATCATTTATAAACAAGTCATACTCACATCTACACGCTGTAATAGTACTTATACATCTTTCATCATAAAAACCATCATATAATCATATAATTTTCAAATATTATCATATCATATTTCATCAACAAAACTCATGCAATTGCCACATAGAGTGTTAATGCAATATCACTTACTCAATGCATGTGGAACCAAATTTTATGAACACTTGGTTCATCACCCTCCATAGATCCCCGCCATAGGATCGATTCCTTCTTGGAACCGGAGTACGTCATAAATCGCTACTGTCATCATAGGTAACACTTCACTAAATCCTCAAACAAGGATCTAGCTACTCACACATAATCTACACAATAGGATTAAAGCATCACAAGCGGACTATCATCCAAAAATGCCATGAATGCATGATGCACAACAACATCACATATAAATTCGACCACTACTAGTCAATTGCATCATCATCACATAATCACCTTCACATAGCATGTATACATATTAAACATGCACATCATTAAATCATTATCACAAATAACATCAATTACATCACAACAACATCATAGCAACTTCAGAGCAACCTCAAGTTCATCATTAAAATAAAACATATTGGCATATTAAACATATAATAATCCAAATTCATCAATACATAGATAATGGAATAATGCATCAAATTACTCATATTATTTGTCATACTATAGCTATGTGCGTCAGCTTCCCAATGCTTTAAACGATGCGTCAAACAAAGTTCTGAAACTCAAGTTACGACATATTGAAAAGTTACTGCCAAACTGCTCACCTGATGCTCACCCGACGACGCTTTCTATTTTCTCAAAAAAATCCCATCGCTTGATGCTCGCCTGACGACGACTTGCTCGCCCTGTGCCTTCCTCTGGCTCGCCCGGTGAGATGCACGATTCTACAACTTTGCAGTTGTGATTCGCTGCTGTCACAATCCCATTCCAATTCTGATTTCAGGTACCGATTCATCCAAAAATGCATTTTAATCATGGTATTTCACTATCGATAACCTCACACCATTATACACATATCACATTTGAATAATGGTATATCAACATTATCATTACACAATACATCATGGTATTCATCATACTTTTCATCAAATCATCACATAAGACAAAACCTACATCTACCTTGACCTCATACTAATCATAATAAACCAAATTACACCCCTTACCTCAAAATCCTAGTAATTTTATTCTTCCTTCGAGTTCTACGAAAATCTCTCCTTGGTTCTCTGTGCCCTAACTCTCTCTTCACGGTTTCTTCTAACTTTTCACGATCATACAAAATAAATCCCTTCTCTCTAATTTTCTCTATTAAAATAGTCCCTTTCTATGATTTTCCTTTTCTATCCTCACTCACTCAGACACACTTACTCTTACGCCCTCATTCTCATTTTCACCTTAATTTCCCATTCTATTATTATTATAATTATAATTATAAATAATATAAACTAAAATTATTTAAATCTAAATAATTCTAATCATCATCCAAATTTCACTAATGTCAAACCACATATCACACACAACACATAAAATGAATAATAAATCATAAATAATCAATAAAATAGAGAAATCTAGATTTTGAGGTGTTACACCCTTTGGTTATCAATTATCTCATTTAGATATGACGACAACAAAGGTCAAATTTTAGATCCTCATAGTCATTGGTTATCAAGTAACCGAAAAACATCAATTTGATGGAGGGGCCTCGAGATTGTAATGGACAACATTAGCGAGGTCGAAGGCTGGTTCAATAATAACATTTCTTATAGACTTGTATCAGGCCTAGGAATAAATTTTTGGAGAAATTCTTGGCTTGATTCAGAACCGATTCGACATGTATTTTATTTATTTGATGAAATTGTTGTGGATGCTTCAAGATCAAAAGTGAGTTCTAAATTTAATGATATGTCTCGCATATTAGAGAACGTGACTTCAATTCTTAATATACATGATTCTTTTGTTTAGCGTTGCGACTCTAAAGGCTACTTTGTGAAACTGGCCTATTCAAGTCTACATTACCACTTTTTATTTATGTCTACCATTCCTTCTTCACCTTCTCACAAATTGGTATGTTCTCTTTATTTCCATCATGAAGAAAACACTGCTTATTTTTTTCTCTTCCGCCTTGTTTCTGCTCGAATATGGACCCATGTGTTGGCTTGAATGTGAATTAAGAGGTTCCCTGTTTCATCTTCTATTCTAGAGTACTTTTCCAACTGTGATAATTTGTTTACAAGAATAATCAATAAGAATCTTATAATATTATTTTGGTATTCAGTAGTTGGAATATGTGGTTAGCTAGGAATGTCATTCTTTTTAAAAGGGACTTACTTGATGAAAATGAGTTAGTTTATTCGGCTAAAATTCATTCTTGAAATTGGTTTGAGACTAGTTGTATTGAGTCTAATCACTTTAGCTTGTTATATTGGCTAGACAACTCTTCATTATATATTAGCTATGTGGTTGCAGTTAATATTTTTATGATTTTTTTCTTTTTGTATTGAGTCGAATATCCCTAGTCTCTTCAATATATTCTTTTGCTTATAATTTTTTTTTAATGAAATTCATAACGATAAAGGAAAAATACAGGTAAAAAATACTAAAATAAAATAAAAAGGATCAAAATGACATATTTAAAAAAGAGAGGGACCAAATTGCAATAAAAAATAGTTTATTCTGATATTCAGTCATAAGAAAAGCGCAACCAGTGTTTTCTTCTATTTCATTTCTTTGCCGCTTTACACACTTCCTCACATTTCGTCTCGTTGTAACTCTCAAATCAAGACCGCTTTCTCAAAATGGTGAAACGGTTATCACCGGCGTCTAGGGTTTCCGAATCCCCCGTAGTCCGCCGCACGAAGGAAGCCGCCTCCGACGCCGTCTTCGTCGCAAAGAAGCTTCTCCGCAGCACCGGCAAGGCAGCATGGATCGCCGGAACCAGTTTTCTCATCCTCGTTGTCCCTCTCATCGTTGCCATGGATCGTGAACAGCAGATCAATGAACTCGAATCTCAACAGGCTAACATCCTTGGAACCCCCTCTTCTCATTCCCTTCCCCTTACTAACTAAACCCCTCGCCATTTTTAGGGTTTTAGTGTATAATTTTTTTTTGGAGTTTTGAGATTTGAGATTTGGATTTGGTGTTCTTGTTGCTTGGATTTATGAATCTACTTGACGCTAAATTGTGTTTTGATGATATGATATTGTTTGTTGGTGATGTTAGTTTTATGAGATTTTTGGAGTTTTTGTTTCAAAGCATGGTGAAGATTGGGGATTTTATTGTGTCTCCTAGGGTTTTGAATAAAGGTTTTCATATCGGTTTTATTATGTTGCTGAAATTTGAACTGTACAATGATTAAAGCTGCATTTTCCTGTAACTCTCTGGATTATCAAGAATTGTGATGCGATTACAGTTGATGCCGTGACCTTTTTTTAAAACCCTAAACCCTAACGCCTGCTGCTGTAATGTGTTTTTGTGTTGCGACTATAGTTGCTACTGTGATCTTTATCTAAAACCCTAATGCCAGATGCTGTAACGTGTTTGTGTTGGGAATGCGAACTTTGGATGATGATGTATACTTAAGAATTTGGATTGTTTAGTTGTTTTTTATATTATTTGGTTGAATGAAATGGTTTTTTGTGGTCTGAATGATTCTTTTGGATACACATGGATTTTGAGTTCTGAGTCCTGCTAGTTATTTAGTCAAAGAACTTGATTGAAAAGTTCTATAACATTTTGATTAGATATCTGTTCGACGCAACGGGATTTGGAATGTGTTATTGGATTTGGTGTCTGATTTTTTTAGTGTTTGGCTGAATGAATGATTTTTGCCTTTTTGGGTTTACTTGGCTGTTGTAGTTTTATGATTGTTAATCGATTAGACTAGTTGCTTAGTGATAGATTTGAAACGCTGACTTCTGAAAACTGTTGATTTGTTAGTCAAAGGACATTATAGGAAAGTCCTGAAACACCTTAACTGGATCCATGCATTGCTTCAATGCCCAATTGCACCTCTTGTTTTGGAATTCGATACATAAACTTGTCTCTGTTATCGAGGGTGGGTCATTCGGCAGCTTAGCAACATTTCAAGCTAGGGCACATACAGTTTATTTCATCCTTTCTGTGTTTATGTGTATGCAGTTAATATTTTTTTTGCTTGCTTGCTTGCTTATTGATGTGTTCTTTTTTCTCACCATATTAAGGTTTGGTTTAAACCCTGTGTTTCTAGGACCTTTATAAATGGATTCTAATTGCATCCAGTGTAGCTTGATGGACAGAATTTGGTACTCTTGTTCCTTCTATCCTTATCTACCTGTTTTTTCTTTTGTTGTTGTCTACATCTGTTTTATGAAATTTTGTCTCTTGTACCTTTTTTTGGTTTCAAGTATCACCATGAAATTGCAATAAGTTGCTAATTCTTCTTGTCGGAATTAGTTGCTATCTAACAAAACAACATTGCTGAATTGATTTGCTCAAATACATTATTCTAGTTATTCACTTAGTTCACTTAAAAGAATTATTTGCTCACACATTTGCTTGTTGCATGTCAAGTCTGTTTTCCACTGTCCTTGTCAAATTATGATTGTCATATTTGTAAGAGACAGTGCCCTGTTATGAGAGGATTGCATTGTTGAGTATGCTCTCATTTGGAGATGTGGTTACTTTGATTGTCAAGTAGTATTTGTTCCTTAATCAAGTGAGTGAATGATGTACGATTTTTAATGTTTTTATGTTAACTGACAAAATAATACATTATCACACTGTTAACATTCATTTTCTTGCATTGAACCGCATCAGAATCCTTATGGTGTTTTAGGGATTCCATGGAAGTTGGATATCTGTTGTTTGACCCTTTAACATTCATTTTCTTGTATACCCTTTAATCTGTCAGATTTAAATATCTGTTGTTTGACCTTGACATGTTTCTTGTTTAACATATGATATGTTTGATGGAAAAAAATTGTTTGAAGGTTTCCATATGCACATTCAATAAGACAAATTTTAGACAGTAGCGTTTTCCATATGTACGTTTCTTTTGTTGACGAATGGCAACTACGTTTTGTCTAGAAGCTAGGGTCTTGAATGTTAACTTTGTTTGCCACTAGCTTTGGCCTAAAATTGTACCTTAACTAGTAACTACTCTATATTGAATTTTTCTGTACAATTAATAAAAACTTCATTTTTTGTACCAAAATTAAATTTAAATCTTTAAAGACTCTTAAAAATAGTTTATCTTTGAGTTTATCTATCCATTCTAAATTTATCTATGTCCAATAAAAAACATTGTTTTTAGGGATGTCAATGGGGCGGGGCGGGGCCGGGGGGACACTTCCCCATCTTTTTCCCCGCCATCAAATTCATTCTCCGTCCCCGATCTCCGTCACGGGGGAATTTCTATCCCCATCCCCGTTCCCCGCGGATCCCCGATCCCCGCGGGGATTCCCATAGATCCTACATTTATTCATTAATATTTTATTTTTTTTAAAATATTTATATTTTCTATAAAAATAAAAAGCACAAAGAATTCACATATTTATTATGTTATTAAAAAATACTAGTATTTGACATTTATTATTTTTTATTAAAAATACTAATGGAACACAAAATAATAATATTTTTTTTATAAATTTCTATAAAATGCTATAAAATTCAACAAAATGAACTATAATACTTTTTAAAGTAACAATATGCCTAAACAACTAAAAAAATCCAACAACATAATTATGCTTAAAAAACTATACTTCATCAAAACTAATAAGGGATAATTATAAAATTTAGCATCATGAGTATGCTTGAAAAGCTAAAAAATACTTCATAATAAGTCAACTAAAAGCAAAAGTCAACATATCTCTATTTGCTCAATTGATAACACACGTAAAGTAGAAATATCAAAATACTTAAAACAAAGTTACAGATAAATAAACTAAAATATTAAGCAAAATATCCAAACAAGTAATGATCAATCATGTCTCTCTTTCCAACTTCTCCTTGCAAGGTCTTCTTCCTCATTCCACAATTAGATATGACTTTCTTTTTCCTACGAAAAGTAAACAATCAATAATTATATTTACTTAAAAAAATACTTTAAAAACTAAAAGGTAATCAACACTAATATGTAAATTACCTTATTATCATCATCATCATCATCCATATCTTCATCCACACATTCGAATCGAGTCAACGTTTTTGAATAACCTAAGAAACAAATAGCTAAATTAAAATTTAAAAATCCTTTTCAATTAATCTTGTAAAAGATAAAAATATATTACCTTTTATATCTTTTCGGATCCAATCTTGAGTGCACATCAAAGCCTCTAAAGTGTCTTCCTTCAACCTACTACGTTGTTGACTTAAAACACGACCACTAGTACTAAAGGCGGACTCTGAAGCAACGGTAAAGATAGGAATTGCTAAAAAGTCCCTTGCAATCTTTTGCAAAGTTGGAAATTTCAAACCATTTTGTTTCCACCATCCTAAGATGTCAAAATTTTCCTTTTTTTGTTTATCAAGCAAGACACCATCTTCTAAGTAGGAAGTAAATTCTGACTTGACATTTGTAGTTGAAGTATTTTCCATCACATATTCCGAATAAGCCTTCTCCCAATCTTGACTTGTGACATCAATGTCATCTACCAATGTTGATGCACCAACTTCACTATTTGTAGGAACCATATCATTATTTGGTTGATATTCTTCAACTAAATCTTCACACATTTGTATTACCTTTTACAATTCTTTGGGAGCATTATTCCCATACATAAGTGGGAAGAAGTAATTCAACAAAGTTATTTTATATCTAGGATCCAAAACAGCCCCTATTGCCATCACCCCATTAATCAAACTCCAATATTTGTCAAACTTCACTATCATACTTCTTGCCATACTTTGTATAGTATCACTAGAAGAATCTTCCCACTTTCTTAAAGCTAATCTTATTTGACAAACTTTGGGAAAATAAATGTTTGATGTTGGATACTTAGTACCCGAGAACAACTCAGTGACACTAAAAAATAATTTCAACTTGTCACAAATTTCTCTTGCCATTTTCCAATCTTCTTCACTTGGTGCACACTTATATTGGGAATCACGGTGTTGATTTAAACGTTTAAAAACTTGTTCGTAAGGCAATGCAGAAGCAAGCATTAAATAAGTAGAGTTCCATCTTGTTCTACAATCTTGTGCAAGCTTCTTTTCATAAGTCATGTTCAATTGATTACAAGTTTCTTTAAATTTCTCCTCCCTCTTTGGTGTTGCTACCCAAAAACCGACACTTTCCCTAATCTTTTCAATTGAACTAGAAATTGTTTGCATGCCATCTTTCACTATCAAGTTTAATATGTGGGCGCAACAACGCATATGAAACAATTTCCCTTTTAAAATAAAAGAAGAAGGTGACATCTTATCAATCAAATGGTCAATCAGAGCATCATTGGTGCTACAATTATCAACGGTTAATGTTGACAATTTTCTATCAATATTCCAATCCATCAAACAATCTACCAAAAAATCACAAATGACCTCAGCAGTATGTGGCGTAGGGACATAAATGAACCTAAAAATAAATTATAATAAATATCACATAAAATAACTATATTATAATAATAACGTAAATGGAAGGGAGAAGTTACCTGATGATCCGATTCTGCAAAATCCAATTTTCATCAATGTAATGAGCTGTAACAGACATATATCCTTTGTTCTGGTTGCTAGCAGTCCACATATCAGTAGTTATTGCTAGGGATGTCAATGGGGCGGGGCGGGGCCGGGGGGACACTTCCCCATCTTTTTCCCCGCCATCAAATTCATTCCCCGTCCCCGTCCCCGATCTCCGTCACGGGGGAATTTCTATCCCCATCCCCGTTCCCCGCGGATCCCCGTTCTCCGCGGGGATCCCCATAGATCCTACATTTATTCATTAATATTTTATTTTTTTAAAATGTTTATATTTTCTATAAAAATAAAAAGCACAAAGAATTCACATATTTATTATGTTATTAAAAAATACTAGTATTTGACATTTCTCTCTCTTAATAAATACATGAATATTTATTTATTTATTTTTATAAATAAACATAAAGGAAATGACTAAAAAACCTAATCTAAAATATATATATTAAATTAACTATATTAAAATAATAGGCGGGGCGGGGGGTGTATTCCCCGTCCCCGTCCCCGAAATGCTCTCGGGGGAATTTTTCTCCCCATCCCCGCCCCCACGGGGGAAAATTCCCCATCTTTGGGGCCCCGAACGGGGCGTTCCCCGCGGGGATCCCCATTAACAGGTCCAAACTGACATCCCTAGTTATTGCAATGCGGCTTTTATTCTTTGCAAGTATTTTCATTTGCTTTGACTTCTCACTTTCATACAACTTCATTATATCATTCTTCATGGTGTTGCGAGAAACTATCTTGAACAAAGGTTGAAGAGAATGACTATAATTTCTAAAACCAATATGGTTAACCATCATGATGGGATATTCATGCAATATAATCATCTTCGCGAGTTCATTCCTAGAAACATCTTGATTAAATGTATAATTTCCAACCACAAATGATTCATGTCTGTTTTCGGATTTTTTTTCTGTCACTTTAAGCATGGCTTGTTTTGGACCTCTCTCTGTGCGTTTTGGACATATGCTAATATGATCAAATAAATGTTTAGTACCATTTTTTGTATCACCACCAATTTTCTTATCACAAGATTTGCATATAGCCTTCCAAATGCCTCCTATTTTTTGCCTTTTAAAATAGGGCCAAGCATCTGATTTTAATCCCCTTTTGTTAGGACTTGTAGTGGGTTCAACGGGAGCTTCAGGATCTTGATTTTCTATATTTATTTCATTTGGAGTAGATTGAACTTCCTGTGTGAGTGAAACTCCACTACTTTCTATAGGAACTTCATTCCCTTCCAAAGCAACATTAGGACTATTAGATGATTGAACTTCACCAACCATTCTTTTACCAAAAACCTGGCACACACAAACACAAATTTTAAAAGGCTACATGGAAGTAGAACAAAAATAATAAATATATGAAAAAATAATAAATAAATGAAATAGTAAATACACGAAATTCACACAAAAAATAATTAATAAGAAAAATCTTATATTTCTAAATATATGATGCATTACACATATTTCTAAATATGCCTTATTTACTGTAACTTTTCAATTAGAAATAATAACATATATTAATTAATTATATACATTGAGAATACATTTATTTACCTATATACATGATATATTTACTCGTGTAAAAAGTTATATGTTATTATTTCACTTAATGGCTTTGGTTTTATAATTAGAAATATAAGATATATATTTTTTTTATGGGTGATAGCATGATATATTATTGTTTATATGTTATTATTTCATTAATAATTAGAAATATAAGATATTTGGTTTTTTTATGGGTGATACCGTGATAGCATGATATATTGATTCATTTAAAAAGTAATATTTTTTTGTTTAATATAGAAAATTAAATTATAGTGTGATATATTAATAAAAAATAGGAAAAGTATATTTTAATATTTTTTAAGGAAAAACTGACGACATTATTTTAATTGCAAATGCATAGTATAGATAAAAAATGAACACAAAAATATTTAAAAGGAGATAAAAATGAGTAATTTTTTGATTATTTTATATTTTTTTAATATGCAAATGATTTGATAACTCTAAAATTTCTAAACAATTTAATTTAAATTTAATCAAAATAATCAACTTTTCCTATAAGCAATTACATGAACAGGTTTATGAGAATCAAGGAGAAACAATCTACTTTTTTCTATAAACAATAATATAAACAGATTTATGAGAATCAAAGAGAAATAATCTATTTTTTCCTATAAATAATTACATGAACAAATTTATGAAAATCAAACCTTATTGATGAAATTGTAAGAGCTGTGAATAATGGAAGCACACCAAACCAAATAGAGAAGATGGAATTGGAAGAGGAAGATGAATGGAGATTTGACTGGAGAAGAAAAAAAGGAGTCTAACGTGTGAGACTCTAAATGTCTGGCAGAAGAAAATGAAACGCTTCAACTTTTTTAGGGTCTAATATTTACATTTCTCTCTCTTAATAAATACATGAATATTTATTTATTTATTTTTATAAATAAACATAAAGGAAATGACTAAAAAACCTAATCTAAAATATATATATTAAATTAACTATATTAAAATAATAGGCGGGGCGGGGTCCCCGCGGGGCGGGGGGTGTATTCCCCGTCCCCGTCCCCGAAATGCTCTCGGGGGAATTTTTCTCCCCATCCCCGCCCCCACGGGGGAAAATTCCCCATCTTTGGGGCCCCGAACGGGGCGTTCCCCGCAGGGATCCCCATTAACAGGTCCAAACTGACATCCCTAATTGTTTTCTTCTTTTTCAGGATTAATAAATGAAGAAAACTTAGATATAATTTTTTAGGTTTAACTTTTATTATTTTTCAATAAAAGTATGATAAATGTGCTTAAATATCATTTAGGGAGTGAAAATAGAAGGAAATTGTATGTGTTGGAGGAAATTATATCTAAGAAATTGAATTTAAGTTTTTTCTTTAATAAATTTATAGGAGTGCCCATTTGGAAATATTTTGTTTTAGATTTGTGTATGTTGGCGAGAATGAGGGGATTGGGCTATAAACGAGGGATAACTGGTCGAGTGGTTTTATTTTGCTTTGGCTTAACCAGTAAATATTTATTTAATTTAATTTGAATTTTAAAACTGGAACACTTATGATGATGTACAATTGTTCATGGATTCAACACTTTCATTTTTTACTTTTTATATTTTATATCATCTTCTCTCTCTTCCATCTAATAATTCAAGACTCATTTAACTTTTATTAATTACAATAGTTTTGTTTATTAAAATTCAACACCCTATTCTATCATTTTTATTTCATATTTTCATTTTTTTTATGTTTTTTGTTTAATAAAGTCAGTTTTTTTCTCTATTCAAATCAAACGAATCAAGTCTTAGATAAAAAAATGACGAATTTTGGTGAAAATAAAATAAATAAAAAATTAATTTACTATAAAATAATGGATTTCAAATAAATAAAGGTGAGATAAAAATTTAAACAATTACAACAACCAATAAGATTTTGTAAAGTATTATATGTGGTCATCATTCCCTCTTTGTTCAATATGTTGAATGTTTCCAACACTAATTAATTCACTTCAACACCTCATTTAACACTCTATTGCAACCATTCAATTATTGAATAATTTTCAACATCCCATTGTAAGTAGTCTAATAGAAAGGAAAATTGAAATTATTATTTTGGTGTGGAATATTATATAAATCTAAGTGTATGTTTGTTTGCGCTGCAATAAGAATTGATTACGAGTGAAATTATTTTGTTTAAAAATGAGTTATGATTGAATAAAGTGAATTGAATAATTAATTTTAGAATTTATTTAGATAATTTAAAATTAACGGAACAAAGCTGAACGAAATAGAATAAAGCAGAATGGAGTGGAATAGAACATAAACTTTATTTCATTGTTTGAATATTTTACGACGGATCAGAATTAATTTTAGAGTTTATTTAGATAATTTAAAATTAACGGAACAGAGCAGAACGAAATAGAATAAAGCAGAATGGAGTGGAATAGAACATAAACTTCATTTCATTGTTTGAATATTTTATGACGGAGCAG